TGAAAGGATTCAAAATTGTTTTCCGTCTTTCTTCTACCTTTAATTTCGGGAGATGATGTAATGATTCAATTTTTTTGTATTATAATGATGCTCAGTTAATAAATGTATAGATGATATGATAATGATAAACCCTATATTTTGATACTTTTATATTGAAATTGAAAATCCATGATTTGAATTGATGTCCTTTCATTGATTCCTCCTAAATTGCATTGGATTTCACTTGACTATCTATGATTCCATTGCTTGTGCTCGGGGTAAAAGTTTTGTATAAATATATCACCATGTTATTAAGTATTTTGATTTAAGATCTTTTATTTTTAAGAGGTGGAATAGAATAACCCTATGATCGAGAGCTAACTATCGAGTCTTTGGACTATCCGGACACATACTTCGGGAAAAGGTTCATGTGTGTTAAACTTCAAATATTGACATTTAAATGTTTGTTTGGTTTTGAACGCTTCTTATTGTCTTCATGCTTTTTCAATTACTTGGCCATAAATTGAATTAATATAATTTCTATTGTCATTCAAGAGAAGGAAAATACAGCACATGGTAACAATCATTGTAAAGTCCTATAGACTTTAGGAACAACTGCCTATGCTTTGTATGATCTCATTGATGTTCTTGTGATCGATTGTATGATCTCACTGAATATTTTTGTGATTGAATGTATCTTCATATATTCACGTCCGCGATATGAATATTTCATGTCATGTATGAGATAAATTTAATTTTTATCAGGAGAGATTATTGAATAAAATATGAGCACTAATATTCGAGTCCAAATAAGTGTTAACCAATTATGAGATTGATATTAAGATTGAAGGAAATACGAGGATTCGATGTCCCAGTGACTTATTGTTAATTGAGTTTATACATGCTTCCCAATTAGTTAATTAGATCAATTAGTTAATTTTAGGTATGATCAGTAAATATAATCAATCTCATCTTAATTGTGATATTCGATTAAAGTTATCATTAATTGGAATTTAATTAAATACTTAGTACTCGTGGAATTAATATGTGAACCAACATCGACTTTAATATTTGTTTATGACATAGTTCATAGTGGTATTTTAGCACAGCAAACACAATTACTTGTTTAAACTTTTTATTATGTGCATGTTAAGTGTAGTTAAGTTATAATTTATAAAGGCCAAACACAAATTTTATTCATATATATTTATAATTTAATGGAATCACAATTTACCGCTCACATTATTTCGCACATTCTATAAGACCTATTACTTAACTTTTTAATTTATAAGCTCCCAAAAAGTACTATGATTGTTATATAATTTTTGTTTTTCAAATTCTGTCCCCCCGCTTAATCTTTTGGAGATAAAATATCTTAAAATATAAGGGTAATTTAGGGAGCCTTTAAAACACACACACACACACACACACACTCTCTCTCTCTCTCTCTCTCTCTCTCTCTCTCTCATGCGCACACACACACAGAGGTGATTGTATACAAATCTACATGGGTTGTGCTTGTTGTATACTCTCATGTACAGCAAGAGTCACAGAGAGGAGGGCCTTTATGCGAGGGGGTTGTAAATGTACAGTCCGAGTTGGACTGTACAAGTAGCTCAACCCAATCTACATTTACGTTTTCTGCATGCTCTGACAAAAATCAATAGGCGCCAAGATTACTAGACTAAGAAAAACGATTAGATGGTTGATGGTACGATGATTAAGTCAACTATTAGTAACAGCTATATGGAGAATTGTGTGTGGGAGAAATAAATAGGGAGAGATTTGGCTAGAATTCAAAGAATGTGTAACTTTTTCTTTACATGTCCATTGAATATTTATAGGGACAGAGTTCTAATGGAATTAGGTTAAAATATTGCAACACCTAATTCTACATGGTGTGTTGTGATTGACCATAGAGTTTTGAATGAAGTATGGTGTGTTTCCTTTGTCGGGTTCACTTCCTTGTAAAGCTAAGTTTCCTTATAGAGATTGATTTTCCATGATCTTTTCTAACTCCTCAACATCCTCTCCTTATTTTAACAGATTGACAAGGCTAAAATTTTAGAATTGATAAAGTAGTCTCACTCCAAGATTTATCCCAATATTGATTTTATCTCCATGTTTCATGGATCCTTTGACATCAACAAGGGTATGGGTCTCGTCCAAAGGCATTAGTTCACTAGGCCCATTAGAGCCACATCCTCCCATCTCGACAGGAGGGGTTCGATTCGAAGACTATTACCACCATCTATTACTGCGAATATTGTAAGAGCTGATGAGATACTTCGTACGACGATGCTTGTGATTTGATTCTTTCGTGTGGGTGAAGACCATAGGAAAACACGTAGCATGTTGGTTCTTGCTCATTTGGTGTTCGTAAGTCCACTTGACTTCCAAGTGTACCTAGGATGTAACAGTAGTCTCACAAATTCAATTTTGTTATTTATATTAGGCTTGAGGCTTATTAGTTTGCTTGTATTACAAAAATTTGAAAGTGAAAGGCTTGTGATGCAGTTGGGCCTCATTGCTCTTTGGCTAAGATTGAATTTATGCCGAAAAGAATTTCACTGGCCTTTGCTTACCATGATGGTGGTGTGGCGAAGATGTCTTGACAAATGCCTCTTGGCCAAGCTATAACGTCGAAGTATAACAACTTCGTTTTGAATACTGTTGTAGATTTCCTTATTCCGATATATAATGTTTATTTTGATATTTAAACCTCTTGTTACAGTAAGTTCATTATTGTCGTTATAGTGAAAGATTTACGCAATTGTCAAACTCTATTTCTCGAACATTTTATTTATTTCTAAATTTACTGTGACATATTGAGATTAATGACTTTTTTACAAAGATCGGTAGTCTAATCTTAATGACACAAAAGATAGAAAAGAAATTTCCTTTTTCTTAAAATCCACCAATCCAATATAACTAGATCAACCCTTCAAGTTCACATTATTTGAAAATACTGCAACAAAGTTACTTTTTTCAATTGTACTCGAGGAAAATAAAAAATAATAAAATAATGATATTTATTTATTCATTTGACTCTTTAATTACATATGCAAAATTAATTAAAGTTAATCTTGTTCCCCAAGCTTTTGGTAATTCTTTCTTTCTTCACAATTGTCATTGTCTTAGAATAATCTTTCCCTAGGAACCGTCAAACCAAGCACGCATTCCCTGATCTCACGGATTTCTTCGGGTAACACTTTACAGCCTCATATTTAGACTTTTCGTCGGCTATCTATTTTTCGCCTTTCCATTCATTTCAATAATAAAGTTACTTAAAAATCAAAGTAACTATAGTATATTATTAATAACTACAGATTACATTTACAATTTTTAATTATAATTATTATACGTTTTTTTTTTCTTCATAAGGCTGCTAAAAAATAAATAATAGTGGGTACAAATAGTATATTGAGGTTTCAAATGATTTTAGGCCACCGTCAACGCAGAATGAACTAATTCTTGACCACTGACCAGCAATTCGAAATTGAACTGAATGGAAATTTTACTTTTGAAAAATCTTGCTGAAAATCAAAGGCAATTATGTTCATTTTTCTCTCGTCTCTTGCTCTTTTAAAATATTTTGTTAAGATCGAATGATTATTATAAATTGAAATATTGTCAATGTATAAGAATCTCAATAATATAAACGATCTTTTTTTTTCTTATCTAATATAATACGATTATATATCCGTGAAAAATTATCCAACAAATTTTTTATGCGAAAAAAATATCATTTTATTAATTGACATGATGAAATGAATTACGCATGCATATATCTATCTTGTGCTTGAAGGAAAAGTCGCACGTTTGCGTGTAAACTACTTATTTTGTTATTAAAAGTACAATCTAACATAAACTACGTCAGCAGAAGCTTTGAGAAAAAAATCAGAAATATTTACAACAAAGGCTCCAAATCTATAGGATAGCAACATGTTGATCCCCAACCTAGAAATGAGCAATATAATCCTCAAACTTTCAAAATAAGTGCAAACCTAGTCCTAACATATAGAAAAAAATAATAATATTCATCTAGAATCCAGATAATCATCTGTCATTTTTAGATAATTCTATGCATGGGACAATGCAGTAGTAGTTTCACTATCAATGAATATTTCTAGTCTCTTCAAGAATACTCTTACTCATATGAAAATAATGTATCTTATTTAGGGGTAACAATGCGATAAGTCGAGCTCGTTGACCAAGGGACTACACTTAGCTTGGCCCATGGGCCTTGCCTATGATGAGCCGTGCCAACCTACAAGTTTTTTGATTTTCTTGGTTCATTAATCTAATATATTTAACTTAAATGTGAGTTTAAAAAAAAAAAAAAAAGGAAACGTTAACATAATTAAATAACAATGAAAGGAAAATATGACACGATCGCAAAGTTCATGTACCCAATGCTTTACTAGCAAAGGTCGACTCGACTCATTTACTTGTTGTAGAACAAGACTAACAGAACAATTGAGCAGTCGATTTTCTTTTGATTATGGACTTTCTGGTTGTAGGGGGAAGGTATGACAAGAGAATTCCATGCTTTTAAGAAGCTTTGTTCTAAGCCTCGGGATGAAATTCGAATCTCACTCAAATAGGGCAGGTGAAGGAAAAAGATCTCTTATGCGGCCACGCTCTAAGCTAAGTTTATCATTGGATCACTCTTGATATACGAATTTACTAGAGATATCATCTAATTCGATTGAAGCAAGGAAAATACAAATACAAATAGAAATCAAAAGAATTAGAATTAGTTTTGTGAAAAGTGAATCCAATCAATTGTGAACCACTCATTGCCAACCTAATCCTGTTTTTAATTGTTCACGATAAGACAAAAGGGGGCAATTATCATGCCTCGATATGCACCTATTCAAAAAGGTTGAGGACTATAGTCCCACTACCGCTATTTACACGGATCCATTTATGCAATTTTCTTGAAAAAAATCAGAAAATTTGTGAAGTGTTATAAGTAGCGGCAGGCTTGCCAACAATAAATCCGGTCTACCATTTCTTCTCTCCTCTCTATAAATATAACACCCTACATATCTGCTTTCCTTTGTCCATTAGAATATACAGAAACTAAACTCAATGGAAATGGAAGTGGTTATCCCTGTAAACAAAATGGATTTTGACTTTAACAGTCCACATGTCAGTGCACCTTCGACGCCCAAGCGTTTTGGGGAATTCTATTGCAGCGCTCCGACAAGTCCGACGCATTTGGCGCAGTTTTATCGTGATTTTGATGATTTCTCGAACAGAGCCAGCGGAGTCACATCGAGGGTGCCGTTTGGTTCCCCTAAGAATGAAGGTGATTTTGCTTTTGATATTGGTGAGGAGTCATCGGAAAAGGAGTCTCTTTCGGCGGAGGAACTGTTTGACGGCGGCGTAATTAAGCACCTAAAGACCCCATCGCGGCTGCAAGCTTCCACCGGAGCAAGAATTAAGGGTGATTACTCACCAAGGCATAAGAAAGAGGCCGACCCTTTTGCAATCTCTTCTCAAAGCGCCACGGCGGAGCACAGTCACAGAAGAGGAAGAGAGAGAGCTCCTGCAGCAGTTTTATCTTCATCAAGCCGAAGAGCAACGCGTTCACTTTCTCCTGCAAGAGATTCTGATCAAAATTCACGGGATCAAGAAGAGAAAAAACAGCAGAATACAAAGATTTTGTGCTCATCTTCATCCTCAAAATGTCACAGAAAATGGAGATTGAAGGACTTTTTCTTGTTCCGAAGTGCATCTGAAGGACGAGCAGCAGATAAAGATCCTTTAAGGAAATACACAGCAGGGTTCAGAAAATCATATGAAGATGCTAAGAATCCGAATTTCCGGAGAATGGATAGCCAGGATTCTGGATCAAATTCAAGTAGAAGAGGAAAAGTTTCAGCTCATGAATTGCATTACACAACAAATCGTGCAGTTTCTGAAGATTTGAAGAAGAAAACCTTCTTGCCATACAAGCAAGGCATTCTGGGGCGCCTTTCATTCAATCCTGCGGCCCATGCACTGGCTAATGGTTTCGGGTTTTCTCGTAAATGAATATTCGTCCGGTACAGTTGAGGACGGCATGGTGAGAAGGAATAATTCTCTGCTAATTATAATCTTTTTTTAATTTTTTTAATGTTTTGGATAGGTAATTTTTTCAGATTTTGGTCATGAGATGTATAAAAATAAATTTTACACATTGAAGCATCATATCTTATTGTGGAATTATTTATCAATGTACTAAATTTTATTGATCCTAAAAAATTTAGGGTCTGCTAGATAAAATCTTGTTTCATTACTTCTTTTAGCTAATTGCTATGTATCTGCTCAAAAACAACTATTCAACGGAATATATTCTACGTTATGGATGATTTCTATTCTTTATTTGATGAAAGACGGAAAAAGACATCGATCATAGAAGGTGACAACTCAAAAGTTTGAGACAAGTAATTCGAGACGACTATTCTTTCCGAACAACGTCTGAGTTATGGGGATATTTATTGATATTTTAATATTCAAAACCCTTGAGAAACGTATTACGAATTCCGGAAAATAAACCCATGGACAAAAATGAGAGAGAGAGAGAGAGTAGCGTGCATTGTGGACTATCAGTTTCTTTAATGTAGAAGACAATTTTTAGGGCGGTCTATTTGTCGCATTTTACTCTAATATTATTGAGTTGGTGAAATCAGAAATGAAATGGAATATAAACATCAATTCATGCATGATATTAAGTTCGACATTTTTCTATGTGGCAGTAATCTATCCCTTTGATTTTAAATATATTCATCCATTGCTAGCCAAATTTTCTCCATTGAGAGGAAATCATGTAGGAAAATTTGTTACCTTCTTAATCACAGGATCTTTTATGTTGGATAATCAAGAATATATAAACTAATACGGAACCTGAATTAGAAATGATTAATTCAATAGTTGAATCTTGCGGTTTATTCTTTCAAATCAACACGTAGACCTTAATTCTTTCTAATGATGGGAGGCAGAACAAAATGAGCAATTCACATGTGATTTGGAAACCATAACTGGGCCCGGTTTCTACCCATAAAATATCCACCTTTTAATTGGATGCATTAAAATCCAAAATACTGGAAACTTGTTAGATCACTTTAACTAGGCTTAACCAAATTTTATAGCCTTTAATTTGATACACAATAATTTACACATATAAGCCCACACGGTCGTTTAAAATTCCTTACATATCAAACTTGTTTTCAACCAAAAATATGCATCTAATTTTATTTTATAAATACGAAAAGAATTAGAGAATTGAAATGAAACATAAGCCGTTGTTTGACAATCATTATTTAAAAACTTTTTTTGTTTTGGTACATATTCATTTTTAATTACACATTTACATTATAAAATATTATGCATGTAAACTCAATATTTTTTCACACTTTCTAACCGCACATTCTCCTAAAAATTATTTTTTTCCAAATGATGATTGTCAAATAGAAGACTAATTAAATTGTTCCTTGTACATGACCAAAATGGAATTATAACTTGATTTTTGTATAAATAAACCATAAACTTTATTTTTGAATTGGAAATGTTAAATACCTATGTTGATGTAATTTCCACTTCTTTATTCTTCCTTTTTTTCCCCCAAAATAATAATTTGGCTGCCCAATTCTTTGTGCAGAACCGTTCTTCCTACTTATAAATTTGATACACTTATTTATTAAATATTCATGACCCTTAATTTAAGTAAATTCAATGCTCAATACTTTATGGATCTCAAATAGTTATAATAAATCTCCCACAATTTTAGGGAAATACATATTAAGTGTTGGATTGACTTATATTAAAGGTCATGATTATTTATTAATAAGTGTGTCAAATTTATGAGTACTAGGAATTAGGAATGTTCTCGTTCTTTGTGCTCTCTTTGTCCGTGTAATTTGCAACCCAAGTATCATAAATAATTCTCGTATAGGAATCATAATTGATTGCATATTTGCATTATATGTCCCCTAATTTCTAGCATTCGTTCTCTTTCCTAATTGATATAAAGATTCATTTCCCTAATAAATCAATAAAAAATAAAATAAAATCTTTTACATTATTGCAACATTTCATCGCTAAACAATAGCTCTTTTTCCTTTCCCTAATAGAACTTTTCTATTTCACATATTTGGGTCGAATCCAACAATTTCCAATTGATCCAAAACCTCCCAATCACAGCATACATTGACATTGATTATACAACCAATTTACCACTGTTCTTCAAATAATTGTAGTAGACGAGAAAATTCATCAAACTGTTATAAATTAGAGAAAAAAGAGAAAACAAAGTAGAAGTTAATTGACTTGTGTGTATAATTAATAACCAAAATCACATATATCTAGAGAGAATAATTAGGAACACAATGGTAATAAAAACTAGGGCTACAACGGTATAATTTTCATTCAATAATAATCATATTATTTATAACACCCCCCTTCAATGTTACATTACAAAATATTTGTATCGTTAAAACATTGTCAAAAAAATCTAGTGGGACAAAATTGATCAAAAGAAAAAGAGTACAGTTACTCCCATTGATTTCAATTCTTGTATCAATTCATCATTGTCTTTTAAATCAGTATTTTTAAAATTGCAAATTTTGGTGAAATATATCTCATGTTATCTTGTAGGTATTCAATCAATATCGTCTACGTACAAGATATTTATAAAAATTTTGTGATCGTAGTAACATGATGATTGAAAAATAGATTTTGTTGATCTTTTTGCGAGTTTCATACATATAAAAGCATTATTTTGAGGGTTAATATCTTTATATGTAATTGGATATCCATTAAATAAAAAATATGCCTCCTTAAAACCTTATTCGTAAAAATCTATAGAAAAATTCTAATTAAGGAAAAGAGTACATTATTCTTTTGAATAGGCATAAAAGTTGTCTCGTTAAAAATCTTGTGAAGAAAACCCAATGAGATAAAACTTTATTCAAGGGAAAAAGAGTACGGCGTGTATTTACTCCTCCCTCATATAATATCTCTAAAATTATGTATCAGGCACATCAAATCTGTCAGAGATAATATTAATAGTCATGCTATATGAATTGATTGTAACCGTATTTCAAGTTTCATGCATTGTTATGATAACAAGATACAAACAATGATTTCATCCACCACGAAATTCAGTATTTTAAGAGTCGTTCATCATTTTGTGACATTATTTTTCTCATTTCTTTTTCACATAAGTATACACATTTTGATTTTTGGGCTGGAAGTCCAGGAACTCCAAATTTCTTAATAAATTCGAATTTAATAAGATTGTGTCCTTTTATTTGGCCAATCATATTTTCGATCGATATGCGTCAATGAATTTATTTCGATATCCTCGAATTCATATATAAGTTGAAATATCTCTCGATTGAGTTTTAACTATTGGTAAGGCGTAGGGGTGTCAACGAACAGAACCAGCTTGTGAGTGGAAACTCCTGGCTCGGGCTCGGCTTGGCTTTTCTAAGGCGGACCTTTTTTGGCCCAAGCCAAGCAAAAGTTCGGTCAAAAAATTAAGGCTCGACATGAGCTTTCAGCTCGAGCCTTAACGAGCCAGCTTGATTTTTCTTCTTTTTCTCTCACTCTTAGCTGCATGTTTGGCAGCTATTTGCTACCTCAACTGACAGTAAATTGAGTTTCTTTCTCTTTTTTTATTAACGGAATGGCCCAACTAGAGCCGACTCTCTGAAATAGGGCTCGGCCCGAGCCTTAGCTCGATGCCTCCGAGCCACAGGTGACCCAAGGCTCGGTGCATTCGAGCTACGGGCGACCCTAGCCGGTGAGCTTGATTGTCATTCCTAGTAAGACGGTCATATTTCATTTACCTAAACTATAACTTGATTTAGTGGCTCTATCCAATAGGCGTGCAACAATTTTTTCTCTTCAATTCTTTTTTTCGTAATGACATAAATTATTGACATATCTCAATTTTCAATATATCAAAAACCTGAAGATCTTCTAAAGTTTTATAATTTGTTATGTCTAAATATTCATTAAGAGAAAGGAACCATCTTTGTTAATTTCTCCATTTTTGTCTGAAATTTTTATATTAGAATCAAATATCATAATGTTTCAAGCATGCCATAAATTCAAATATAATATTACCAAGACATTAATTCGAGTTAGAGCATTCAAAGTTTGTATATGAGATGTTGTTGATCTCTTTGGTCAGTAAATGCACTTAAATATCTTTCGAACTTTTGGTTCGAATTATTTTTGTAAGAATTTAAATAATTATGCATTTGTACATTATTTTAGTTTCTTAGTTCTTCTCCCTAATACTGAGAAAATTGTCTACTCAAATTGATAATCGCAAATCATGTTATAAAATATCATTAGTTTGAAATAAAAAGTTCGAACAACTCATTTATTCTCAAAATTATTTACTTTCCATATCAATGCATTGTGGTGGATCAATTTTACATATACTACGTTATCAAAATTATTTGATGAAAAAATTGGCTCGGACCATATGCCTAGTTATAGTAGGGATGACTATGATGTTGACATGACACGTAATAACATTTCCTAAATAGAAATGGAAAGTACTTCGTTTTCAATTAAATTAATTGGAGGTGTATAACAATCAATAATGTTGAATCATTTATCAACATTTCATCTAACGCATATTAAAATGTTGAGATTTACAATTACTAGATTAAGAGGGTACACCGTCTTAATTATATAATCTGAAAATTCTACTGATAATTTAAAATTTGAGAAGTAATTTTGCAAACTATAAGTTACAAACATCATGCAATCATCAAGCATACATGTTAAATCTATTAAATACAAATAATATTTAGATGGTCTACGTGAAGGATAATGGGCCCCATTTATCACCCTGATTAATTTTCAGAAATATAATGAATTCAATCCCTATTTTTAACTAGCGATGATCAATTTTCGATAAAAAAAAAAAAAACAAATAACGTATAGGAATTTATTGGACTGAAGATTCAGGTTCTTTGTTGAATGTCCATTTAAATTTTTTATTTCATATCATTATTGATGCAATATGATCCAACTGGTCATGCCGAACAATAATACATTCATTAATTAAAATTTTGAGTCAATAGTGTATTCATTCCAATTCTACCACACATTTTAGAAACTTATTACATTTCACTTTAATTTAGAGGGGAATAAATTACTATCAATAGTAAAATTTATTCTCTCACGTAACACAATTTAACCCTTCTGTAGTATCAAAACGTATTCTTCTAAAATATTGTTATATACTTGGTTATGATTACTAACAAGTAATAA